AAAAAGAAGAATATGGTTCTTCATAAACAAAAAACAAGGTAGACAGAAACTTCGACTCACTGAAAGCACTCTGTCGCGTCGATTTGAGACAGACAATGTAACCACTGCTATGATATCGCGCTTATAACTTTCCGAGTCCTTATAAGTACTTAGTTAACTTTTCAGAAAGTCCATGGAGTGTTTTCAGTAATTGAAGTATCTGTCTTTTACCTGATTGGCAAGTCAAATTTAGGGGAAAAAAGCTTCAGTTGAACAATCAAACAATTATAAAATTGATTTTTCCTGCCTGTGTTTATTCTTAAGTTGATTTTTGAAATTTAAGGAGCAATCTTTGATAATTTCTGAATTTTTTAAGGAGCAGTCTTTGACAAATTCCATATCTTACATAAAATATCAATTCCTTGAGCTCACTATCGAAACGATATCTCCCTGAATAATTAAGGTAAAATAGTTTTGTTCCAACTATTTTGAAGAAAATGACGGAATGATTGTGCTCGGGGTGGTTTTTTCTCCAGACAAACTTCGAATTTTTGACTAGCAATTGTTGACGAAATCTTTTTAATGTCATTGGAAAAGTATTGTAACCGTGAGGTTAATTTTAGAAAAAAATATTTTACCTGTAATCATTTTTTGTAAAATTATGCGGGCTTAAAGACTGCAAATATGGCCTTTTTGGGACAATTGACACGCGATATATTTCGTGCTATTAACGTGTCAGTGCAGATTGAATTCGTTCTAGGCATGCTATTTGGTCTATTGAGAATTTTTCGTTATGCGAAATTGATGAATTTGTAGTTTAAATAGCGTGTAAGGGGGGTTGGCTTCAAAAAAGTCTAAGCTTCAATTTTTTCATCACACAATAAATTCGAGAAGTTTCGAGGGATTTGAGCCCTGATACGAGCAACCTTGTTGAGCTTTTGCTTCTGTTGTTCTGCTGATATTATTATTGTTCAGCAAGGCTGTTTGTTAGAACACGAAAACAGAGCTAGCTGTCTCAAGGAGAAAAACAGGATCATTCTTAAGATGATATCTTTGTTAATGGTAACAGTAACTATCAGTTATTGGTGAGAAATATCAAAGGAAGCTCGTGAAATTTGGGGCTCCTTAAGGTCTGGTATTGGGCTTTTCTTTTTATTTTGTTTTTTGTAGATGCTGTTCTTACTACCAAAAACTGTTGCAAGCAGCACGCAATTTTTCAAAAATATTGTTCATAATGATAAACGAAAAACCGGTTCACATTTATTTACTCGTAATTCAAATTTTTCTTCCTCGACTAAATTAAAACGCTGGAAATGGTTTTGAGAGCGTTTAGAATGTTTGCACCAATTTTCCGGGATACAATTTTTTTATATACTGGAGTGCAATTTTGGATGCGGTTGGACTGATTGCTTGTGGTTCTGCAGCTAATTAGACATAACAAATTACAAAAATGAACATTAAAATGCTTTAGTAAAAAAAATCTAGCCTTAGCCTGTCGATAGCTTAGTTAAGTTATAAGTATATATTGTCCGGATTTGAATTACAAAGTAGCGAAGAGCCTTCTTTTTTTGAAGTCCGTCAGAGCTTATGAGCCTGTGTTTGCATTATTCAACTTAATATCGATATATTTTTTCTTTCTTTTCGGCGCTCATAAAAAAATTTAAACAAAAATCGATTAGTCACATATGATTTTGTAATTGAATCTACTTAATAGAGTAAATTAGCACAGAGCTTTCTATTGCGAATTCTAATTTTGCTGCATTTTGATTGGTCGAAAACTCGACTAACTTAATCTCCTTAACAATCTCTCCCCTCCCCATTTCTTAAAAGGGGAAATTGAATTGATAAGTATATCCTTGTAACTGACTATTGTAAGCTTATCACCTCGACTTGTACTTTTACTTTTATGAACTGAATAAGAATAGCATCTCAAAGCTGAACTGATAAAATAAAACGATTATGATTTTGAAAGTCTTCACCAAACTTACAATGTCATCTAGAAAGATGAACAAGACTGCCCGTATCAGGGCTAAGCCCTGAAAGTTCCGACTGCTTTTTAACGTTTATGGAGCAGTAATAACATAAACAACATAAAAAAATTGAATGAAATAAAATAAAATGAAAATCTTTTCTCAAATTTGAAAATTTTTCTATGAAAATCATGCCCCCACACGCCATATAAAGTACAAAACAGTAAATTTTGCTCTTTGTAAAAAATCAATTATGGCAAATAAGCTTCTTTCAACCAATTTGGAACGATTTCTAAGACGGATTAAATCTCCGCTTACGCGTTAATAGCGCGAAATATATCGCGCGTTAATTGTCCCAAATTGGTCAAAATGGCCAAAATTGCAATCTTTAAACCCTCATAACTTTACCAAAAAGGATCACAGGTGAAATATCTTTTCAAATTTAAGCTCAAGACAACAATAGCTTTCGAATGATATAATTTTTCAGTTTTATCAAAACTGTTTCAAAATTGCAAACTTTGGCAAATAGTCATATTGACTGTTAGTCATATTTGATGTTTATCCATCTTTCTTTCTAATAATAACTCAAAACATTTTGTCTTTATTTACCTAAAAGTTACATCTCCATGTAAAATTTTGATAGGACTTTTGATAATTCCTTTTTCACAGTAAGTTTTAAGATTAAACTTCAACTAGGAAATGCCAATCTTTAAACCCCCGTAATTTTACAAAGAAAGATCACACTGAAATATCTTTTCAAATTTAAACTCAAGAAAACATTACCTTTCGAACGATATAAAAAAATCCGTCAAAAATGGCTAGTTCAAAAGTCGAAATTTGTCTGAAGAAAAAAAACCACCCCGAGCACAAATATTCCGTTACCTTCGTATCGAAAGTCAGAACAACAAGGCGAGCCGAATGGGGTGCAGCAGTTAGCAAAAATTAATTACTCTGCTAATTGAAATAAAATATGAAAAAAAGAGAGTTTTTTTTGGTAAGAAAAACCTTTTTTCGCTGCATTTTTTTTTCATTAAAAGGTAATCAATTAAGGTACAAACTGCATAAAATATAAGCGAATCTAAACCAACCAAAAACATATGACTATTTTCAACTTCAATTTAATCAAAATTAGTTTTATCAATTTTTTCTCAGAATCGAATAACTTCAGACCAATTTTTTTATCATCGAGATTTTGTTTTTGATTTTTTTTGCAGCCGTTTTGAAATGATATTTTATAAGGAAGATTTTTTAACGAATGGGACTTTCTATTCGTTTGATTAAAGCGCCTTAAGCATAAATCATTTTCACTACGTATTTTAATCGGATCAAAAATCGCTTCTTTTAACGCCATATTTGAATCAAGCATGCAAAATTTCTATTTGTCCGATAAATTCACCACCTCAGATGCGACTCTTAACAAATTATTTATGCAACTTGCATGCACCAACTATACTAAAATTAGGAAAAAAAACTGACAGTTCTGTCTAAATCTACAAATCCACCATCGTTTTCCTAAAACATGGTCGGAAGCGGAATCAGAGTTGGAACCGGGACCGGGCTTTTTACGGGTCGGGCTCAGGCTTTATTTTTAGGACCAGCAACCGGGCTAAGGAACAGTAGTTTAGTTTTGATTTCAGGACATCAATACTTAATGGATAAGAAATGCGTCAGTTCTTCACTCCTGGCCTCTATACACCGCAGCTGCTAGTCATACAATTCCATACAATCAGGGGCGGATCTAGGATTTTCTCGAGCGGAAGGAGCGGATTTTCAAAAATTTCGAAATTTGCTTTTGTCGACCTTTTTTTTAGGTCGACCAAATTGACTTTCTGAGCTCTCCTAAATCACTATGAAGTACTTTTCTGGTCGTTTCTTATGGTAAATATTTTCAAATCTGTTTTAAACAACAGGCCGCGATTTCTGACCAGTGACCATTTTAAAATGTAAAAATTTCAGCAATAACTTCGAAAACTATATATTTTAACTTAGATGACAGCAGATTCTTTGTGAAGAATTTGTTTGCCACTTAACTTTTTGGTTTTTGACTTAAGATTTAAAACCAAATTTTTATATAACAGAAACAAAAAAAAGTTGATATAATTTTTTATAGAAATACGCTTTTGATGCGATTTGATTTTATGACTATACAATTTCATTTTGGAAGTGTGCTAGTGTTTCAACACTCACATATGGAAGAGTGCTAGTCATGAAATTCTCATGCAATTTCAACTGAATGAGATATACATACCATAGTAAGGGAACTGTATTAGTGTTTTTTGTACACCTTGGCTGTTTAGAAAAATATACTTCTGTGCACCAGTGGATTTAGGGGGTTGGGATGGGGTGTCGGTTTTTTCTTTGTACTAGTTTCAAATAATTCATTCTGGCTGAAACCACAATTTACTAATTTTTAGGGAGAAGCCCGCCTCCGCAAAAACGCGGTTTTTTTGGTCAATTTTTTCCAAAAAGTGCCTTAAAACGCTTTTTTTTGGCCTGTTTTTTTTCAAATTTTGCCTGCAGCGCAGAAAGTTTGGTAAAAAAGGGTCTTTTTAGTGCTCTGAGAACGCTCGGAAAACCAATTTAGTCAAGCTAAAAAAAAAGGTAGACAAAAATTTTGAAAATCAACCCCCGCCCCGCTCGCGAAAATCTTTGATCCACCCCTGCTTCTGTGATTGCATTTGTGGCCTTTTGCATTAATTTCGGCAGTTTATTTTTTGCTTGAGTTAAAACTCAGCTTTATAACTTAGCGGGGCTAGAAGTTGCAGTTTTTGTATAACCTAGTTCAATCTTAATAATAAAGAAAAAACGCTTAGTCTATAAATGACATTTTGGCGACTAGTTCCCTACAAATTCCATAAATGGACAGGTATAAATGTTATTTTTTTTCGCAGAGGTCATCTTGGACACTTCTACCAAGACTTGTTCAGTAAAATAATTGAAGATATGCTTGGCTTAATCTTCATTACCTCCAGAATCCCAGCAAGAAAAAACCGAAAGCTGATCAATTTTTGCTTATAGGGTTTACAATCATTCAGCTTGGAGAAAGTGAATTTGACTTCTAGGCGACCAATCAGAAATGAGGCTTTTTGTTACCTTTTTTAATGTCAAATTTTAATTTTTTTTTTTGCTTTCGATGACTATTATTTCTTTCCTGGTTAGTTACGGTCCTTTGATTAAAATGGAAGGATGAAAAGAAAAGAAAACATTTCAGATATTATTAAAAACTGAAAGTTTTCGTTTCTTGGTTTTAATTTCTTAACGCTCATTTTTATCATTACATGAATGAAGCAACAATTATTCTGCTTCCAGAATAATTTTATGCTGGTGTGACTCAATTGAAAATTTTAACCAAAGTTTTATTCAAATAGTTTCAAATAAAAAGACATTTGAAATTTTACGAATGGCTCAAATTGGATTCCAGAACACGTTTGGTGTTCAAAATGACATCAAACAGCCCCATTTCACCAATTACGTAACTCCTGACTCATTCAATGACGACCATGGTGACATCAGTCGCGGTGAGGTAATGAGGGGGTCGCACAGTTTCGTGCAGCACACGGACAACATGTTGGAACCGGCGTGGGATTACGTGTACTTGTGTGTGAGTCTGCTTTGGCTTTTCGTCGGAGTTCCTGGAAATCTTCTGGTCATCTTAAGTGTACTCTGCTTCAAAGAATTAAGGTTACTTTATTTCTAGAAAGCTATCCAAATTGTCATATCGAAAGTCAATATCAGTCAGTAAAAAACTTCTTTATACAAACAAGTTTGTTACGGATTCCGCAAATTTACCTGTTTTTGGAGCGATTTTGAGCAGTGCAGTGTTTTAGCTATTTGTTCGTGAAATCCAAAACAGCAGAGAAGATTAAAGGAAAAATAGAAATGTTACGGATTTCGAGGCAAATCTGATTTTGGCTTGTTGTGGAAGCCACTTAAAACTCGCAAAATACCCAGTTTTGCCTCATAATGAAATAAGTTAAAATTCTCAAACTCGGCAGATTGCTTTTTTTATTTTTCTTGCTCCAATTTTTTTGTCAAATCTGTTTTCTGTTTGTTGTGGAATCCGCTTACAATTCACAAAATGCACAGTTTGGCCTCGTAATGCAACCAAAAAATATTCCATTCAAGGTATTTTCTAAGTTTTTGGTATATTATCGGGAAATTTTTTTCCAAACATTTTAAAAGTTGTCAAAATTCTTTTTATATTTTGAGCGCGAAGGTACTTTGCCCTGAAGTGTTTTTTCTTGCCACGTGATTTGGGAAAATTTGCAGGGATGTGCTATTGATGTAAAGCATTGCGGTCGGAGTTCGGGCTCCAGAAGGAAAAAAACTAGCTCTGCTGAGCATGCGGGGATCTAGGTTTTTACCGAGGGGCGGATTTTCAAAATTTATTTTGTCCTTTATTAGCGGTCCAAAAATTTTTTTGAAGCTCTCCCAAAAACGCTAAAAAGAACATATTTCGCCAAATTTTTTTGCGTCGCAGGCAAAATTAATTGAAGTTGCGAAAGAAAAACAGATCAAAGAACGAGGTTAAAACAGCATTAACATTTAACCAAATTAATGAAAAATGACATGTGAATGCTTCAATAAGGGACATAACATGGTAAATTAGATTAAAACGAACATATCGTTTAAATTGCTCTTTTTCCCTTGAGAACGTCCATACATTTGAATCTATAAGTAATTTTTTTATGTACATATTTTTCAATGTAAATATACGTTTTTTTATACTATTTTTTTTTAGTTCAGTGAACATTTGAACTTAATTGAAAAGATATATAGCTGTAATTAATTGTAATCAGTTTAAGAATCTCATTTTCAGAAACCAAAAACTTAAAAAATTTTAAAATTAAAAATTTGAACCTCCCCGCACTGACAAAAATGGATTAGGATCGATTTTAGTAGGAAAAAAGTATGTTGAAAAAATGAAAAAATTTAGATCAGTTTAAGAAAGAAAAAAGTACAAAGATAAAAATTGATTTGAATCGATTTAAAATCGATTTGAATTGATCGTAAATCCCAACTTCAAAAAATGAAACAAAACGATTTTAAATCGATTTCAATCAATTTTTCCAGTCGTAATTTGTTTTTGTTTTTAAGGGGATTAAAACGGATTTAAATCGATTGAAATCATTTTTTTCCTTCTAGTTTCATCAGTTTCAAATTTTAATTGCATTTTTTCATTGCCTATCGTTTTACATCCATAGCGTATTGTAGCATAAAAAGACCAAATAAAAAGACCAAAATATCGATAAAATTCTATGATTTTGTAGCATATGTTGAGTTCAAAAAATGATCTAAATTGACCCTTTTCTTGATTTGTTTCATAAGTTTTTGCACAAAATCTGAATGATTTTCATGATTTTCTATGATTTAATTGCATCTTATTGAGATCAAAACTTAATTTGTTCTAATTTTTTTCTTGTTTGTTACATAGAATTTTGCCCATAATCTGATTTACAACAATTTTCTATGATTGTTTTGCTTATTTTTGAGATTAAAATCTGATTTATGTTTAATAATTTATTGAATTCTATAAGATCTGGCACGTGTGTTTTTATTCAAAAAATTGATAAAAAATAATTCTTTTTTTTAACGAGGGGTATGTTTTTCTTGCTGTGGTAGCTAAAATATTGGTTTTAGTGAGTCTGAAAATCCGATTTAAATTGATTTTTAAGACATATCTTAAATTGATCTAGAAGTTTCAAAAAATATTGATTTAAATTGATATAAAATGGATTTAGGTGAGATTCGGATGAATTTAAATGTAGTGCAATGTAGTGAGTCGGAAAATTCATCCAAATCGATTTAAACCGATTTTTCAGACACTTAAATTGATCTAAGCGTTTCAAAAAAAGATCAATTTAAATCGATTTAAAAATGTACATTGCTAATCAATTTGGATCAATTTAAAATTGATTTTAGATCATTTTAAATCAACCCAAAACTATTTTTTGTCAGTGCGGGTCGGTTGCAAACTGATTGCTATAAAGGCTTATTGGCAGACGTGGTGAAACGTGTTTTGTAATTTACTAAAACCAAAGCTTCATTTTAATGCTTAAGCTCAAAATTGCCAAAAGCTTCGTTTTAATGCACTCAGTAGTACTCAGACGATACAAAAAAGCGCAAATTTCTTCTTTTTTTTGCATATTTATTTCATCAATAATTATTTGAGAAATTTTTAGAACCACTTTTTTTCTTCCTCTACATTTTCGAAGTTTAGTTTTAAAAACCATGAAAGAAATCCCAATTTAACGCAGTGACCACTTTCTTGTTATTTAAGACATCTTTATATTCAAAAGTTTAAGTTTCGATCGGGAAGCTGGGAACCAGTTTTTTTTTTACTCTCAATAAAGACAATTATTTTTTCAAATCAACTTTTTTGGTCGAAATATTGACCTGCTTAGCTTGAATGTAAAAAACTCTCAGCTGAACCTATTTTTGGAGATACTTCAAACAAATAATTTAAAAAATTGTGCTTGCCGGACAGGCAGAAAGTTCGACTAGCAGAAAATTTTGAAAACAAAAAGGAAAAACTAGCATAATTTTGATAAATTTAGATCTGGGAAATACAACACTACAATCACAATTTATTCAAATTGATGTTAGCCTTTTGAAAAAAACTGAGCCATTGGGAAATCAAGCAATCAACAAGCAAGTGAAAAGCGCAAGCTGAAAAACAGTGATCAGTCACACCCAGACCTGTAGTAGTTTGAACCGAACACTTATTACATCAAAAATTTTAAAATGAAAGAAAAAAAACGTTTTTTTTTTTGCGTTTCATCATTTTGCTTTATAGAAAACTTAAATTTTTTTAGATGTTTTATACTAGTCTCTGAAATTTTTGACTAGTTTTTATACTAGTCGATTACTTGTATGCTAATCGAGTTTTATGCTAGTCCATACATCACTATAAAAAATAACAGGTTGAGCTTACTGTCAAAAAATTTCAAAATAGAACAATATATAAAATATACAATGATAATTAAAAGATTTCAGTTTCAAATTTTCGAAAAAGACAACTTTTTTCAGTGAAAAAGTTTTAGCCGAGCTCCGATGTTTGAAATAACCATCTTCACTCACTTTTTTCTGCGATTGATTAATGAGTTCAAGAGTTGCCAGACTAGGAACAAAAGCGCTTTTTTCGGATAGCCAAAAAGGGAATCATTACTGATTACAAAAATTGCCTGAGCTCAACTGTTGAATCGGAGCTCTTCGAGGTTACGTATAAAATGTGTTAGGCATCATAAAACAAAAAATAGAAAGCCTGATTTACTTAATTTTTAACCTGGTTTTTAACTCTACTTGAATTTAAAACCGCTCTAAAAGGATGTTATTACATTTGGGTCATCCGAAACGATACACGTCAGTTAAACATTAAAACTGGCTAGTAAATAACAATTTTGAAGCAATCTGACGTCTTTTTTGGACTTAAACCTTGGATATTTTTTACGGTTTATATTTGTTTTTTTTTCCCACTGATTTATTCTTGGGTGGTCAGTTTCGGCTTTGTAACTAAGCAGTTTTGACGGAATTTTTCAAATCATCTGGATGATACCTTTTCTGGCGTTGAAACTTTATGAAATATTTCAACTTTGATCAGCTTTTATAAAGTTATAATGGCATGAATTTGGGTATTTTTTGAAGGCATACCTAAATTGTGATAATTAACGCTGATAGTGATAATACATTTTGCTTTTTTGGAACCAGTTTAAAACTAGTATTTATATCCAATCAAATTATTGATAATAATATCTCTATTAAAAAACTCTAACTAACCAATCACGATCCATAACTAACACTTACATCTATTTGTAACGCTGAATCTATTCATAGTTTCACCGACAGAAAAAATAGTAATTTTATTTGAGAAGAAAATTGTTCTCCTTCAAAATAGTTCCTGATATCTAACTCGCAATAACCAGTATACACTAGATCTATTGAGACTAGGAGATCTAAGAGTAAGATTAAGATTGGTATTAGACTAAGAATTTAAACGAATCTATCCGGCCGAAAAAAAGATAGCGTGACGAACAGACGGTGTACCTTAACTGAAATTACTCTATGAGTGAGCCACCCCGGACTTAAACTCATCTGGTGCGACCAAGAGTCTCGAACAAGACCTATTAAAAAACTTTGATTTAACAAGTTCAAAATAGAGATAACATCCAACAAAAACCTTTCAAAATGTTAGATATTATAGAAAACTCAATACGTATGTCTCTACGTCTCAATACGTCTACTCCACTACTTCAAACGATACGGCAAACACCAGGTAAAAACCCGATCCGCAGACCAAGCTTCTATTTCGTGAAACGACGAAAACTGCAACGAAAAATTCTCTTCAAAGTTCTCAAGGCAGTAGATTTTCCTTCTCTAACATAAAATAAAAATCACTTGGAGCAATAAGATTCATTTGTAAGCTATATGCTTTTTATTGATGTATAACCTTATTATCTAAACATAATAAAAACTGATAAAAAGTACCAAAGTTGTTCCTTTCATCAAATCTGCATCAAATCTTTCCCTACACCAAATTATCAAGGCTAGTCTTGGATCTTAATTCTTAAATCGAATTTTAAATTTAAATTTAAACTTTAATTCATTAAAAAAATTTCTCATCAAGGCTTTCCTTGTGTCAATCAGAACGATTTTGTTCTCCCTACCTCCTAGTCTTTACCTCC